CAGTCGCGATATATCTTCAAAGCCAAAAATCAAACTTTACTTAACTCGGCTTCCGCGGTCAGTGCCACCTTGAAAGTTGCATCTTACAATAGTTGATGTAAGACGGTGTAACATTGAGCGATTAACTAGATATTGAACGGACATTGATTAAAACTGAATCAACTGTAAATTTAAAACGTGAAAATTTTACGTTTGTCTTTATGATAACACAGATAGATCTCAAACCTTAAAAAAATGACTTATATTCCTCCCTTCTGCACATTTCTGTCAGTTGGAATTTGCCTCGTTTCAGACTGTTTAATTTCATTTGTAGCAGAATCTCATAAATTTCCTTCAACCTTTTTGCATCTTTTCATTGACTAGTATTAACTGTGTCCTCACATTACTACGGGCTTGTTATTCCAAGCTATCAGGTCTTGACACTTGATACAGTTTTATCAACTTGCCCCCATCTTGAACAGGCGAAAATTTGTAGAATTTCAAGGTACAAAAAAATATCTTATCACGAAAGTAAAAAATAAAATCGCTCAGTGTTGCACGATCTCCGATTAAAATGGTGGCCAGAATATTCACATGTACATCTCGTTGTTTTCGTCAATTTTGATGAAAGACGCATCCGTTCTTGTCTTTTGGTCCAAACGTTTTTGCAGTTTTTTTGACACTTCTCGATCAGTGTAACTGAAAATGTCGATCGTTATTTGATCAAAAATTTATTTCTTCTAGATCGAACTTGGATAATCTGCATGTGTTTGAAAACTAGTCGTATTACATTAAGCCACCATTAAATCGGAATACAATATTGTAAATTAAATCTTATCCTTACGATGGCTCCTCCAGTGCTTGTGATTTTCCATCTTCGTCTTGTCACATTCTTGTCTTCTTTTCCACTCTGTAAGAAAACAAGTAAAGAACAATTTAACCAAAGTTCAACGGAAAAAAGTGAATATTATCAAGGTCCTTGCAAAAGTAAACGCTGCAGTATATTCAGGATATGTTCAAAGATTCTTCAAGAGGAAAGCATTGCGACGGAAAGCCATACGCGGGTTAAAAATATGTTTGTCAAAACTTTTACTGGTATCGACTTGAGACTAACACAACAAAAAAAATACACCGCTTGTGGTCATTCGAATACGATGAATATCGACTTGTTTCCGGGTGGCAGGTTCTTTTATCGTTATTTTTCGGACTTGAGAGATTTTTAAGAACGACTTGGGTTTACTTTGAAAACATGTTAATTGGTGATGTACAAATGGCATGGTCGCTTGTGCTTGTTTCTCTAAGACGTCTACCAACTTCCGAGAGCATTTTAATTTCTTTAAACAACTAAATTAAGGAGCAATAACGTTTTCTTGTTAGCAAGCTTATCCAAGGTACATATTTAACCATTCTTAAGAGCGAAATTATTTGTCCAACGATTTTGGAATACACGCCAACAACGAAACGACCAAAACACGTGCAAATTGCAGCGACTCTGGAATGTCTTCGTTCTGCTTATTAGTGAAGGAAAGAGTTCAGAAAAAACTACTCACCATTTACTTCACTCTGCTAAATATTCTGTGTTCCAGTTGGTCTTCACTGCTCTTGAGTTTCCTTCGTTGTTTATGGAAAAACGAAACCACGTCTTCGCACGTCAACGAAATGTTTGAAATGAAGCAAATTCTATCTCTCTCATGAATATGGATTACAAGCTGGAACCAATTGTTAGTCAACAAGCCACATTTGTTTAACAATTTCCGCTTTGCTCGTGGCAATTTGTGATGTTTATTAATAGGGCAAAACATGCTATCAGCGCGTTTGTGAGTCAACCTAGTACCTTTGGACTTACAAACAATTTACAGCAAAATCACAGCTGTGGAAGCTTGAAGAATAGTTATAAGCATTCAGAAGAGGGAATCCACCAGAAGTTCGAGTAAAAAGTGGGCAAAAACTTTATGCCGAGATTATTTACATGGTATTGCAAACTTTCTAACAACACCAAATGTCGAAAACAAATGTTGAAGTTCATATGAAACACTTGAATGTACAGTTGAAATGAAACTGATGATTAAATTTTATCCGTGTTTCAACAATTTCACTGAACTTTGAAATTTATCTTCTCGATTTTCCGTGGGAAATTGTTTATGGTGTTATTTCAGGCAAATGTTTACATCTTTAGCTTTTAGGAAATGCGAAAAAGACTGTTATATGATTAAAATTATTCTGGTACAAGATTTTTGTTCACTTAAAAGTGAAATTGCTCGATTTCCTGTCGGATTTCGTATTTTGATCGAGCTTACTTAGCTCTTAATAGCGTATCGGGTATAAATAAAGTGTTAATAGAGTGATTGCCTGATTGCTTGCTTGCTCGCTTGACTTAATGATTGATTTTGATTGATTTTGATTGATTTTGATTGATTTGGAAATGAGTGTTTTTATACTCTTTTTTTATACTTTTGGCGTCTACGAGTTTGTTTTCCAAACTAAACGCTACGGGAAATCAATATAAACATCTTGAATCCGTTAAATAATTCGAGTTTCATTTCTGCTTTCAGATGTTGGAAAAGCTTTGGGAGATTGTGGCGCAGAGTGTTAACTCGCAAAGAGATTCATCATCATCAAGCAAGGAACATATTTTGAAGTGTTACAATGATATGAAAAGCAAGGCTCTCACAGCGCATACAAAGCGTCAGATAAAACCATCTCCAGCTTCAGAAAAAAATTTGCACAGAAGTTTAGACTTTTCCAGACTGCCGTCTGAGAATCACGTTGAAGGTGACATGATTGCTGACCCACTGAACACTGCAGTTAAAAGTAAAATTTTGGGATCGGGAGTTGGTTATCTCCGTCAAAAATTGACAGCTGTCAAAGATAAAGACAAGCTTCTCAAAATTCAAGTCAAAGAGGCTAAAACCGACGACGAGCGCAGAGCTCTGACTATTGTACCTGGTCTTAAAAGGAGCGCACCACAAAACATTGCTTGCGCGACTTTGGTAAGTATTAGCTCCAAATCAAGCAATGGCTGTGACAGCGCTTCTACGAGCCTTATAACACCGTCAACATGTTTGTCAAGTTTGAACAAGAGACCTAGAGAATGCTATGGTGATTTCAGACGTGAAACGCCGAAATCTTCTACAACAGGACTTATTTTAAGAAAAGGGCTCGCGAAGCAAACACTGAGCGAGAAGAAGCGCGCAGTTGTAGGATGCAGTGATCGCCAAGTGTTGATTGGAATTGGACAGAGCGAAAGCAAGACGAACATCCAGCCGTGTAAACCCTCAAATATTGAATCTAGGCCTGTAACAGTACCCTCACTTAGGCCCCAAGTAAAACCAACGTCCGTTAAGGGTGAACAAAAACAAAACCAAGACCTGGAGAAAAATAACAACTGCATCCCATATGCTTCAGCTTCTCATACAGCAGTTTCACAAAAAGCCAGAACACTTCCTACACCCACGAACTACTCAATGCGCTTGGGTAAAGCGTTCACCACCCCTATGGGGAATCCTCGCCCGTTCACCCCACCCTCTGTTGTGAGAACAAATGTGAATTCCCCAGTCACCCCACCCGTAATTTCTTTCAATGGAGGTGGTGTCACTCCACCGCTGTGTAAATGTGGGCGCCGCACTCGGCGAAGATGTGTTGTGAATCCGGGACCTAATCAGGGGAGAGCTTTCTTTACCTGCTCGTTCAATCATGGCAAGTCAGGTCTAGGGTCAAATGTCAGTAAAAGGAAGTCTGAAGGTGGCTGTAAGTTTTTTCGTTGGGAGGTTCGTTTATAGAATTGTGCAATCAAAGAGATTACTGTAGTGGTTTGTGACACGTGTTCAATCTCGATCCCAGGCTCTCTCTCCTATTCCTCCCTTGTGGGAGCATGGGATTGAGATTGAGAAGAATAAATAAATATGACCTCATAACAGAAACTGTAGTTGTTTTTATGTTTAATAGCTATGTAAACTAGCTATGCTGTGTTCAATCTTGCTTCACCCTACAGCTCTGTGGGATCACGAACACTCATTTTGACATATAGGTATCGCTCCTTAGTCATACTCAATAGATTATATCTACTCAAGTTGTGGCACACTTCTCATTTCCCCTCCTAACCATGAAGCCTCACGGTCCCTTCCATGGGAACGAGACATACCTTGCCAATAATTATTACACAGACAACTGCAGACAGTTTATTATGGTCATCAAGATGTTTATTGTGAACTTGAGCTTAGACATTCATGGCGTTTGAACACAGAGACAACCTAATAATTTCCTGTCACTTGCTGAGATTGTGGAATGTATTTCCTTGCCATTTTTCCAACAACATGTATGACTGCCAAATATTTCTGACACAGAAATAGTCCTGACACTTAAAGTTCAACTTTGCTAAAATAAAAAACACACTGCTCAATTGAGAGGAGAAGAGAACAGTACCTACCTATATTATAGCTCATGGTCCCAAATTCACAATAGGATATTTAGTTAGGAAACTCTAAATAAAAGGTGTCTCAAGATAATCTTTTCAAAACACAATCTACTGGTCCAGGGCAATGTGAGTACACAATATGCTGCTTTTTTGAGTGTGGTTAACTGGATTAATGATGGATATCCAGGCTTTCTATCACTGTGGACAACAGTCTGTAAAAGAATAAATACACTACTGTTACAAAATGATGTTAGAAGAGCATGTATATATATCTAAAGAATCGTGTGAAAAGCTCTTTCTTTGAGTCAACAAACACGTGCACACACCCTAACAATGAACCTTTGCGAGCTACACTTGCATCCATTTCCCTGTTCATTATTGGCAGCATTAATTTACACAAATTACATTTTAACTAAAACCTTCACTATGATGGAAAGGAATGACAATGGCAGAACCTATGTAATACCTTTTTAATAATCCTAGAATTGGAAAGAATTAAATATGCAAATAACCTTTCTGAGTGATACACTAGCCTTCTACAGTAGAATTTCTGATAAAATTCTCACCTGTTTGCTGGCAGAAGTTTGCACATAGATACGAGTTCATCTGGAAGAAAAAAAAAGAATATCATTCAAATCGCTGAAGAAGACCAAACCAGTTTATACCAGTTGCATTTAGCTATTGTTCTTCCCAACAGTTAGCAAGGAATCTAAAGTTTAAGTGATAAATAAGCACTTGTCAAAGGGTCTCTCTTCCAGGCAACTGGAACAAGAGAGAGCCCAAGAATGAGAAGGATGTGTACTTAATAAATACTTCATAAGTTGCATCTTGCTTAAAAACACAACACAATAACCATGGCCAGGGATAATATTTAGACTAACAGTTACGCAGCCGTGCTGTGATGGGATTAAACATTCAACAAATCATATGCCAAATTTTATCTATTGAATAGAAATGTTCTCAAGGCTGAGTTGTTTCCTATAATGATCAATACTTAATCAAAAGAGAGCTTTGAATTGCTCGCATACCACATATCCTACGGGAAGGTTTGAAGCAGGATTGGAGATACATCATACAATCAATCTCTTTAGCCTGACAACTGCTTAGGTCAAACAAAAGGCAAATATTTAGCCATTCTTATTCACTGTCAATATCAGCACGAAGGTTACCTTTTGAAGAGGAAAGACATCCTGTTGCTATAGCAACTTGCAAAGTTTGTGCAAATCTATCCATTGACAGTTGAACTTGTTGATCAATAATGCTGTGGTTAAACTCTGCAGTTTTTAACCTGTCAATTAACTTTGACATGTCTTGTGTCAGTTCTTTCAAATCTGTTCCTTTGATAAGATGACGGCTGTCTGATTCATCCATGACTTCTCCTGGCTCCAGTTCCATTTCTTCTTGTGGATCCTCTTTATCTTTGCCAGCCAGTAAAAAAGCCTCAATTATTGCTAGGTGAAGTTGCGAGTATAAAAGTCTAGATTCATGGTATGAGTGTCTGTCACATATGGCGCTGTCACAAGCTAGTGGCATTAGCACTACCCACCGTAGCAGGCCCAATATTGGACCAAGAGGGAGAGGGGTAGGTTCTGCTGGGGCTAATGATCCACGCAGACATCCTGCTGTTAATAGACTAGTGGGGCAAGTTAGTAAACACAGATCAGGATTTTTGCCGACCCAGGAAGCCACAACTTTGAGAAGAGACAAAGGAGGTTGATTTGAGATCGCAGCTGATGATCTTTCATCTGAAATGCAAGATTGGGTAAAATTGTGTGATTTAAATGTTATGAAAAACAATTTGAATTTTTTACATGCAGTATTGTAATTTTGATTTTGGTCCAAAATGGGTGAAGAAACGGGGATGCCAGAATTTTGATAATCAGCATAGGGGTGTAATAAGTTATAAGCTTCCTTGAGCTTCTGTTTACCTTGTTGTTTGCCGATAGTGACAACTGGATACAAACTAATGAGAGCAATCATTAGCTGGCAAGCCATCAGCGGTGAGTGAGAAGCAAGAGTCTGAAGGAATGGCAGTGAAGCGGGTACAAGGCATGTGTAGTCTTCCACTATGGATGACGTCACCTTCAACACTACACCAGGTCTGTGATGATGTCTCTGACAATAAACAAAGCCATAAGCAAATACAGGTGTCAGATTGCTTGCCATCAAAGTGCATTTGTACCATACAACATTTAAACAAAAAAGGCAAATTCCTGCCAACTATAAAATAATACAGTCATGGATACCAGTTCTTTCTATATAACTACATTGAGCACAAACAATTCAGGGAGGAAAATCAAATACAAGTAACTGAAAAAAAGTTTCAATAAAGATTTGTTTCTGAAAAATTCCAGTGCATCAAGGTGGTTTGGTGTCCTTTTCTAAAAAAATATTCAGAATTATGCCCTATATCATATGATGTGCTTCATAGATGATATTAACTCTGACTTCACACAGCTTATTAACATGTTTTATAGGACTGCATTGATATTCCTTACAAAAATACCTGAAAATTACTTTCCTTTTTGTATGAAACATGCAAAAGATCATAGGCTAGTTTAAGAGTAAAAATCATTAATCATTAATTTTTAATTAAGCTTATTGCAAACAATAATTAGTTTTCAACTTCAGTGCATGTTAGAACCAAGAACTCAGGAGTTGAGAACTGTTCATCTTACGAACCTGCATCCAGATGGCCATGGATTCTAACAAATGGTCACACTGCAATGCCACAGCCATAGAGACAAGCTTTGTGAGAATTTCAACTTTCCTGTCAACCTGAAGTTTAACAGAAAATAAAATATTGTAGTAAGTTCCTAGTTGAGAAATTTATGGAAATTGAAACATGAATCACAAAGACAACAACATCGACCTATAAAAGAGGTGGTCTTGCTTGAAGACAGCCCCTCAAGAAGTGAATGAATTAGTTATTTAATNNNCTTCCAACGACGAAAATTAATCTATGCAATTATTCTAAATTCACTTTTTAATGGCAAGGAAAGTCACTGCAAGTAAATTCAAATGAGTGTTTTGGGTTTGTTTGTTTGATTTTCGCTAGGCATTCATCAAACTGCATAAACTATGTGAAAATCTCTATATCTGATTATAAATAGGGTTAAAAAATGAAAAAATAAGGAGAAATAGCTTGTGATATCATATCCAGCCAGGAACATACGCTGTACCATGCAGAGAGGAAAAAATTCTGAAGTCCAGTTGCCCAGTGGGTCAGTTTCCCCCTCTAAAGTATTACCTGCCCAGTAGGTGTGTTATGTTCATGCTTTATCAACTGTATGTACATCATTTACTAGGTACTGTCTATAACCTGTGATAGACTAAAACAAAATGAGCTTACTGGTACTAAACTAGGTGAAACATACTGGACAGTGACACAAATTTTAAATTAATCCATACTTTCAACTCATTGGTTTGCTCATCTTGCAGTCTTAAGTTTTGAAATTGTTTTTGAGTTGAAATTATCACTGACAAGACTACTGGACCACCAAACTTCCATATTTGTCACTTGCCCAAGGGCAAAATTTACTTGCCCTGAGCAACCAGACCTGGGTTTTTTCCTGCCCTGCCAAACATAATGCCTCAAGTTCAAATGCTAAAATCTCACCTTTCCATCTTTGATGTCTTGACCTGATATTCCAAACAGTATATAAAACACACCACATCTTACAATGTCAGATGGTTGATCTTGAAAGCAAGAACATATAACTTCTAAGAGCTGAAGCTCCTGGATGGCAGACAATGGTTTCGTTCCTGATCCTTTGCCATGAAATATGTACAAGTCGATAACATCGTCAAGAAAAGCTGAGAGATAAAGTCCAGGATTTGGAGGCATGTCTGGTGCATATGCCTTGAAGTATTTCTCTAACATATGAATAACATCCCTACTGCATTCAGGAAATTGAGAACAACTTAGGAGGTGCTTGACGTAAGAGACTTTGCCAGGGATATCTGCCTTCCATGATGCAATATCTATGAAATAAATGATAATATTTTATGTCAGTGACATCATGGTTACTACCAGTGATTGATTAGTAGATGTTGGGAGAGGGAGAGTAACCTGCTTCTTTCTATACCTTTTACTCAAAGTTCCTTCTCCTTCCTGGGTAGATCACACATTTTTTTCCAATACAAAATATTGTGCAATGTTGCAAAGACCCTCTCCAGTTTCTCCTGATTCCCTTCACCTAAGAATCCCACTTTCCATCCTGTCCTCTCCCACCTTGCATGGACTTCCTACCACCTTCCCCCAATATGAGTTTCAAATATAGCAAAGTTTTCATGTTGATTACGTGGCTTACCTGTAACTAAGGGCACTGATTGGTTAGTGCTTTGCATTAAAATAAAATAAAAAACAAAGTACCAACAACTCAGGGGGGAAAGTCTAAAATGGGGGTGAGGGGAGAGGTGTGAGAGGTGTGGGTGTGCGGCAGTGAACCAGATTAGCACTGTAGTTAGCCTGAATAGCTCTCTGGTTAACCTGAATAACGTTCGGGTTAAAAAAAACTCCGTGTTGTTAACTTGCAAACTAAAATAATTGTAAACCCTACTCTGCATCAGTGTCTACAGTAAGCCCTGACTTCTAACCTCTAACATCACTATGCAAGCTGGCGTACATGTTTGCCAGTACGTGAGACATTCAACTCAGAAGAGCGCAGCATGTCTATAAATCACTCTGCTTCGTGCTAACTTAACAAAGAAGTTTTCTGAATCGACAGTACAATGCAAGTCTTACCATCTTTAATATTGTCATCTCGTTTCTAAATTGCAGCTACAAGCTTATAAAATTACTCCGCGGTCTCCCGACTTGAATGCACGATTTCCAAACATATTTCCCACATTTGCATTATTATCAACTACATACTTACTCCAAGTGTCTTCCTCGTATTCATTCATAACGGAAAACAGCAATGAATGTCCACAGTAGCGCCAAGGAGAGTTAATTAAACCAAATCAAATATGGCCAAAAATCACCACTATGACCGCCATTTTAGCATGAGCAGCCAGGCCAAATAAGAAATTCTTCAGATTGGGAACCAGTCATTGGTTGTTGGCCGATGGCCCAAGGACTGTCCTGGGCACATTTGGGGTACATTTCACCCCTAGTTTCTGGACGTCACCGCGTTTTTTTTTTGTTCTTGTTGTTGTTTGTTTGTTTTTTTT